CAGCCCTGACCAGACCCTCCTGCCTCTCCCAAAGCCCCTTGGCCACCCACACCGTCCCAGGCTCGGCCCCGCTCTCCCCACGAGCCCCTTGGGCAGAGCGGACCCTCAGCTGCCAGGTCGTGCGAGGGCAAAGTGAGCCGCAGCTCCCCTCGCCACCGCCTTGCAACAGCCCAAACAGCAACGTGCATCTTCGGGATGCTTTTCCCATCAGACCGCATCGAAGCCTCCAGTAGGCAAACTTCCCACAAGCCAAACCGAAAGTTTTTCCCCCCAAAATCTCCATATGAGGGCTTTATTCAGCTTTCAATAGGTCCTCCAAACAAGTCATGAAAGAAGCAACTGTTGCAACATCAAAACTAGGGTTTCTCTGGGTCACATTTTAAATACTTATCCCTGAGCTTCCGTGTATTGCAAACAACACACCGTGAACCCAGAGAAACGCCACAGCTTGATACTGACATCCTATGTATTACCCTCGATTTACACATCATCTACAACTTAAAAATTAGCTTCATACTTAAACTAGTTCCCCAAGTTTCCCCCTTTCTCCTGCCCTTTATGTGGCAGGGATGATTGCCGCTTATTATCCTGAGAAATACAGAAATAACAACATTTTCACAGACACCAAGCTTCATAGCTTCAAATCAAAACCAAGAAAGAAGAAAGAATGAACGGTAAATAGCACATTCACAGGAGAATTATTTTTTTTCGTTTTTAAAAATGTAGTAAAGATAAAAGAAATTCAAGTTTGTTTTTTTTTTTTTTAAAAAGATTGGTTTGAAGGACAAGACTTAAAATCCTTAACCTGAGGTGGCTGCAGTTCTGTGCAGAAGCCCAAAGAGCAAAGGGCAGGTGGATCCTGCCGTGCGCGGCCGAGGGAGGGACGGGCAGCAAGCGGCACTCAACGTGAGCTCGAGCCTTTGCATAGGCAACTGCGGGGCAGGGGCACGGCCACCCAGGCCTTCCCCAGCGAGCGAGAACAGCCCTGCTGAAACACCGGAGTGCCCGGGAGCCTTGCTTGCTCTGCCGGCACTGCTCGCCCTCACAGGCTCGCTCGAAGCAACACCACAGCGCTAGGAGAATGGGTGTTACAGGGGCAGCAGCTCGCTGGCACAGGTTGCCCCGCTGCTGGCAATCCGACTGACCACTTTGCGCTGATCACCCTGAAAACGCCGTGTTCCCCCTTTGGCCTTTGGTGACAGGAGACGGCAAAAGCTCAGGATTGAAGAATTACAGAAAAATCCAGAGCTGCACCCTGATGACCCCAGGCAAGCAGTGCCTCTGCACGGCACTGCGGGCTGGCAGGCGTGAGATGAGAAAGATGAACGCCCCTGGCATTATTAACAATTAGAAGGTAGCTAAAGCGTATACAAAACGGCTGGAGAGTTAGCTCCTGCTGCACCAATTTTGCCATGCCCAGAGCCCATCGGTTTAGATTGGTACCTGGCATCTCCGAGCATCCTGGTCATCCCTCCATCCCCCAGCCCTCTCCAGGGGCCGGGCAGGCCGAGGACAAGGACCCACTACTGACACACACAGTGGGGTCACGGGACAGAAGCCTGACCCAAAGGCAGGCAGTGGAAGAAAACCCAGTTGCTTTCCAAAAGCTTTTGTTCACATCCTGGGGTCTTGCCACTGGAGCTGGAGCTCGGCCCCATCAGCTGGCAGCAGCAATTTCTGCTCAGTTCTCCGTACTGGGTGACGAGCTTCCAGCTGTAAAACAGCAACTGGGATACCTCAGCAGAGTCCCTCTGAACACGTGAGCCTGAGCACTTCAAATTTATGTCCCAAATCTCTGTTCGGATTAAAAGTAACTCTTCAGCTTTCCATCTGCACAAATGCTATGAAGGAGAGGAGGGGGTCAGTCAGCCAATTTATCTTTCAAATCGGGGATAAAAATTGACTTGTCATGGCAGAAAATTCTACCAAAGACTATTATTGTTGATTGATTTCTCTATGACAGAAGGTCAGATAAGCAAGAGCAGATAGATACCAAAGATAATGAACTTCCCCCTACTAGCATTAAGCACAAGTAAAATATGAGTCCCTGTAAACCGAATGTTACGTGAAGAATGGAACAAAAATTCCAACCTTTCCAGGGTGTCCTTCAAACCAAATTCACAAATACATCTAGTGACTGACCTAGCGTCTCTACATCTCTAGCTACATTCCTACCTTCTCATAATACCTGAGTTTGCAATGCAACACATTCACTTTACCCTGTTTAAAAAATACAAGTCATTAGAGGACTTGGTGCAGAAGATATTAAGAATGACTGTCCAGTGAGCTAGATCCTGGTTCGGTATATTAGCGTCTTCCTTACTTGTCAGTTTAGTAAGGCTTTTCTACTCCCTACCACAAATGGGTTATTTGTTAATGGATACTGCCGCCAATCAACCTTTGCAACATTTGCTTTATACAACAGAAAGTAGAACATTCTTGCCCGTTCACCATCATAAATTAGTTTAGGTTTTTTGTTGTTGGTGGTACAGCATTAGTCTTGGGAGTCTATTTTGGATAAACACAGAATACCTAATAGATTATTTTTGTTGGGTATTTGGCAGTAAGATGACCACTTTTATGTACACTAATTAAAACAAACTCTTATTCATCAACAGATTATAATAATTCAGTAACTGTAGAATAAAATTACTCCTATGCAATTTTAACAATTCCTTGAGTGTATAAAACAGCAAGCCAGAAGATAACCCGTAATAAAAAGATCATATCAAGCTATTTGGAAATTAAACGTAAAAGCTGAGAAACACTAACTTACAAACAGATATACTAAAATCTTCCCATTTACACTTGAGGTATAGGCTGTATGCAGAAGGCTTTCCTGAGAAATACGCGCTTGTCTCATTTTACAGTCAGAAAGTAAATGAGATTTACAGAACCACCTTTGGATTGTGAAGCTCTATCGAGCTGAACTGCTGCTGGGCCCAGCAGCTGTTACCCGTAACATCCTATTTAAATAATGAAAAATGAGCAGCTAGTGGACTTGTAGAAAAGGGAAACCATCAAGCTGGAAGATGCCCAAGCGGGACTGCAAAGGCGGCGATGCCGCCGAGGGTCCGCAGTCAGCCAGCAGCGGGTCTCCGAGGAGAGGTCTGACCGCAGCGGTCGGCACCCGGGACACGGCACAGCTGCTGACTAACCAAGAGATGTGCCAAGCCAGTGGGTCACAGCGTCTCTTGGGCTGCGCACCCGCTGGGTGAAGGGGAAGGAAAGATGACTTTGGTGAATGAGATTTTTCTCCTGTTCACCATCACAGGCATCTCACAGCAGCTTCAGTACCTCAGAGCAGTACTCACTTTGTGCCACACAGCTGTCATCAGGACAAGACAAGAAGATAGCAACTGGTCCCTCCTACCCTGAAGGAACAGAAGTTGCTTCCCAAAATATTTTTAAAACAGCATTCAAACATTTGTTGATGAACCCTCTTGCTACATAAACATCAGATTCATATCTAACGACACAGGGAAGGAAATCCAGCCAGGGCGACACGGCTGTCTAGGAGGGTGACTGAGTCTTCAAATGTTAATTATTAATGAAGGAAATGAGGACAAGAGCATCTCATCCAACCTCCCCACCACCACCACCAGCAGGAAGCCACGCGGTTATGAGGTTACTCATGAGAATACCCAAGTTTAGATAAACACCAGCACTTAGCAATTACTCAAACAGCTAACCGGTTGTCATTAAACCAGTTCTCCATGCAGTGGAGTGGCGTGGAGGTTGTGAGATGGAAAATCCAAGCCTTGCAACACCTAGGACAGAACAGTTTACCAAGTACTGCATTAATACCATTTTTCCTGGTAAGAAGGGATTCCACAAGCAGCAGAACAGTCCTGGCAAGGTATGACTATGGATCACGCATTCCCCGAGTCCAGCAGAGAAAGCCGTGCCAGGGGACACTGAAGTCCCTCACCCCGTTACACAGGTCACATTTAACCACAGGGCACGTTAACTGTTCCCAGAAACAGGCTGCTTGGGTCTGCTGCAATGCAGAAGCCTCCTCAGTAGTCAGATACCACCTTGGAGGAATACATTAAAAGGGGCAATCCCGCCTCTTCTCTAAGTAGGTTTTTCCTGCTTTTGTGAACCTAAAATGGATGTTAAGGAAGTGATGAGAAATTACTTGCAGTTCTCTAGCAACAAGAGTACCTTTATGTAACGCCAGGAGCCTGCTACAAACTGCAGCAACCCAATTTCAGTGGAATGGAAAGGTGAGCAGCAATAGTGAGAGGCCAGCTGGTCAGGCCGGGGTTGGGGGCAGAGCCCACTCCTGCAGCTCCCAGGAAGGGACAGGGGCAGCGAGCCCCTCGCAGCTCGGGAGCACTACGATCCCGCTGGGGCAGGATTCAAGGAAACCCCAGGAGCTACCACCTGCATCTGAAAACTGCCAGGGGAAAAGAAACCAACTGGCTAGACAGGCTCTTCCTTCTTCTCCACTCCCTGGCTTTTTAAAATTATTATTATATTTAAAGAAAAAAAAGCTTGGCACTTCTCTAACACCCACTTCTCCAAAATCGTCCATTTGGGATACTAACAGCTCTGTCGATGTGGTGAGGCCGTTTGCTCTCTATGACAAACGCTTTTGGATACAAATCACGGAAAGAGCAGTGCGCGAACAGCATCTTCTCCTTGAGGTAGTCTTAGTCATCTCGGTCCCCAGCCCCCAAAATACAAAAGAACTAACCCTAACAAACACTGTAACATTAAACATCTTCACATTCTGTAAACCGCTGGAGAATGCATCTGCTGCATTCATACAGAACCATGTGCATCGTGTTGAAGATCATACATTCAACTCTGTCGTGAAATAAATATATAGGAAAAAGAGTAAAAAAACAAAAACAAACAAAAAAGATTCTTGCTACAATGGCAGGGACGCCCACCGCCCCGTCTCCTGCCTGGATCGCGTTTGCCCCTCTCCCGAGGTGAGCCAGCTCCCTGCCTGAGGCACAGCGTAAGGCACCGGCCGGGGCGAGCTGGGCTCACTCTTTGCTCACGCTTGTCTTGCAGGAATGTAGAACGGCCTTAAAAAGGAGAGGCAGCTGCTCCAGGGGGACATTCACCATTTTTCCTGGTAAGAAAAAAACCACAGAATTAGCAGCCACTCCTGAATCAGATTTCAGAGACACCTAAGCCAGCAACGCTGGAGATGGTTTTACCTTGAACCTCTCAGAGAAACAGTTAATCATCCTACCGCTACATTAGACATTTGATATTCATTTGGACACAACAGGATTTATTATTTACTGAATCGAAAGCTAAATAAACGGGCAAAGTCAGATCAAAATGATTTCTCCACAATGGAGCAGTATTTATAGAAACTGGGAAAGACTAAATCCCGTCTCTCCTCAAACTCCCTGGTTGATCTCAATGAGTAAATTACGAGAGCTACTCTGATTATTATCTAGTTCGTTACAGCGGAGTAGGATGAAGCATACGGAGCCTTGACACGGGGAGGCAAGTATCTCCCTTTGTCATAACATTCAGGAACAAACAATGTTTTAGTAACACCAGACCTTGTAGATCTAATTAGTCACACAACTGCATTTGAAAGTTCACCTGCGGATTTCAGCGGTCCAGACGAGCTGAAACCTGGGGGTTACACTGCAGGTCGGCCTGCCGCTCTGCTTATCATCTGCTCCTTAATTAAGCGGCATTTCAGAGAGATGTCTATTTCTTATGAGATACTCAAACCAGGATTACACCCCTTTGAGACAAAACGCCTCTGAGATGGGATTGAAAGGAAGAATATAAAATGAGAACCTGACTTAAGTACTTAAAGGGCGGCAGGTCAGAGCAAGGCACGACTTCTTGGGAGCAGGGGACTCGGGAATGGGACGCAACGCCGCGTCTGCCAGCGTCACAGGGACAACTTGCAAAAAGCCAGTCTGGCTGGGTGAGCTAGGGGTGATGGGAGATCAGCTTAAAGGTGGGGGAGAAGCTTCGATAGAAAAAGGTCCCACACAAACATCCTCCACCGAAGTCGACAAGAATCTAGCTGTTATAAATTAATTTTCTTTTAAAAGCAAATTTCATAACTTGCACACGATCCCAGTGGGAGAAGAGCTCAAAAAGTTACCTGCAATATATCGTATCTCTGGCAAACACATCATTAAGTCCGGAAAACGGTTTGGCTGGTGTGGGTATTTGTACTCCGTGAAGTCCTGGCAAACATACCAATACCGCTTATTCAGCTGCTCCAGTTGGGACGCGTTAGTCAGACCCCTGATGTCTGAAAGCAAATATGATTAGAGTAATGGAGACATGACGAAAACATCCTAGAAGAGCAGCAGCCTCACACTTACTGCCATTTCTTCAGGAAAGACAGACTGATTGCTAAAACTCTAAGCTGGGTCCCTGCTTCGGAGACTGGCTTCGAGTGCCCGCTTAGACAAATACTAAAATTCCCATCTCCCCTCCTGGCATGCCTGCATCAGGGATGCCTCTTTACACACGTGTCTGGGTACGGATTTCCCTCCGTGAAAGACCAGGATGAGAACAGCTAATGTCCTAAGCTGCTCATCTACAAAGCTGAACGAACGCTCCTGTAGATAACAGCTCCAGCAACCTTAAATCCCCGCCTGCCTGGTGTAAAGCAGCTGTATGTCAAGGTTTAGTCCTCACAGCGGATTCAGTGTAATACTTCCTCAGACAGAAACATGTTGATTTTAGGTATATCATCTTGGCTGAGGAAAGCGCTCAACTCCATAATTCAAGGTATCATCATATTTCTCCCCATCTGCTTATGAATTATGTCATATGAGCTTTATAAACTTGTCAACTTCTCATTTTTAAATTTAGCTTTGGCAGTGTCAGGCAACGTACACAAAGGAAAAATGGCAAATATCAAACTGGCAGGAAGTCCCACTGCCACCGTTCAGCGTGATCAACGGCATCGGCACGCTGCTGGGGGTCCTGGGAAGGATCCAGCGCGGTGGAGCAAGGAAGCTGCAGACCCTCGGTGCAGGCTCAGTATGGTAAGACCATCTGACGGAAGAGGCATTTATCTACTGCCCAAAAGCTGACTTTTAAAAATAATTCTCAGGTATTTCACATAAAAAATTGCAAACTTCAACTAAAAATAAAAGACGACAGGAAGTTAATGAAAATACATTTGGGAAAACAATGGAGACAGCTCGAGAAGTGCATTATCCAGTGTCAGGAAACTGCCCAGGGAAGCAAACCGGAACCTCAGCCCGACACAGATTGAAGCGTCAGCACTATCTCCTGCTGGAAATGAGTGGGGGAGGAGAGAGCCTGCAGCACATTTTTAGAGACTGCAACTATCTTTCAGAGTACAAAAGACTCTGGGGACATTTATTTCCAAAATTACAACTGAACACCATCCATGAAGCATTTGCCTCTCAACAGTTGTCTTTATAACGTGAAGAAATGTCCTGCGAGGCCCCACAGACGCGGCGCCACAACAAACGACCGGGAAAGGGAATCCACAAGCAATGGATTGAGACAACGTACAAGAGTGGAGACAGGGACAAGCACTACTGAGGAAGAAAACAGATCTACGCCGAACTATTTCAGCCCACTACAGTTGTTAGGAAACAACCAGGACCTTCTCACATGTTGAAGAATTACTCTGCATGGACTTTGAAACGTCTAGGGTCTTGCAACAGACTGGACTGCCAGCTTTAATGGTTAATCAGCTGGAGGATTCAGTTCCTCCTCAGGCAGAATTCATTGCCTGCAAGTAAATACTTCATTCATGATTACTTTTCACTCTAAAGAGCTAGCATTAGGTATAGAATCTAAATAGTAGGAAGCCAAATAGGTGACCTAAGTATATATCCTGAATGTAAGTAAGAGTCAGAAAAGCTCTAAAAGAAGGGAGGATTGGTTTTACAAATTCACCCTTTAAAGCAGAAAAATGAACAAATACATTTTCTAGTCAGGAATCTCTGAAAGGTTGTTATGCAAATAGCCAATGCTTACTTCAGAAAAAAAAAGGCATGCAAATTAACTGTTTTTAAAGTATCATTTAGTTAATTGCCTAAAGAGTTACCTAAAGGAATAATACTTTTAGGTGACACAACTTTGCCCAATGAAAAGTTCGTTAGCAGCTGGTAAGTCATCACTCACCCAAACCTTATCCAGAGAGGTTTCACTGGCCTCTCTGCTCTGTTCTAATTCTGGTATCGGTACCATTAGTACACATGTAAAATGACACACTTACTGTCCTCGGTGCCTATATTTAAAGGCAATAAAAATCGGCTAAGCAAATGAATTCATTCACTTCCAGCATTTCTTCACGTGGGTACACAAGTATCCCACTCTGCATGGTGTTCGGTCTGCACGATGGCAAACACGTACAGAGAGGTTTCAGAGCTTGAGTCTCTTTGAGGGTCTCAGACCCCTTCCTCCCATTTCTCAACAGGGAAGCAAAGACTGCTCAGACTGTTTCAGAGAATTTCTCCAGTGGGACTGGTACCTTCTCTTCGTCGACTCACCTTGATTTAGGAAGTTAATGGCTTTCATACATGCATACTCCTCGTTGCTGACCTTCAACTGGTTAAATTTGCGAAAGAGGTAGATCAACCGCTCCATCACCTCCATCCCCTCTTCACTGAATCTGGAGGATAGAGATCACACATCATCACACACAGGACACAGTCCGTACAATAAAGGCAAGAAGCTTATTAAAATAACTTCAGGGATTTTAACATCTTGCAAGAGAATTAAAAAAAAGACTGTAATCAAAACTGCTTGAAGTCTGCTGGCACCATAAAATTAAAGTAGAAGTAAGAAGGAAAATGACTCAGTTACGAACTTGACTGTTACAGATATTTTAGCAAAAAAACACCTCTTGGTGATTCAGTTCATCGCCAGCCTGCTCTGACAGAGGGAAAGGTTTGATGGAGCCAGGTATATGCAAAAACTTCTTGCATGCTTGTAGGCACACTGCTTTGTCTCTCTACACTTGTATTTCCCCAGACTTCAATGAGGATTGTGCCTTCGCACTTTGCTGAGCTAATGGGAGGTTTAACTAAGCATTTTGGGGAATGAGATAAGATTTCACAGAAATGTGGAATGATACTTGTCTTGTAGGACATGAAAACGTCCTGCAAAACCCGTTGTCCTGCCAGATGCAAGGGTCAGTAGGTATTCCCCGTCTGCCTGGCGTTGCACTGCATCTATCCACGATAGAAAGCAGCTCACAGCCACGTTATACAGCACTGCGCCTTACTCCTGGTGGGTACTTTTGCAGGATAAAAACACCTCCAGCAATCCTTGGAGTGCTTCCCCCTGTTCAGAAGACAAGCCGCCCCCAGCAGCATTTCACGTGTTCTCGCCCCTCACTGTCTCGCACCTTTCTTCAATTTGTGCTTTCCACCACTTGCAGCAGCCCAACGTATCCTGCACTGGCCACCAGCAGAAATGCCGATGCATCCTTGGGGACCTGGAGGTGTCCCCAACAGCTGCACAGCACCCTGCACCCCACCCTGAGAGATCTGGGATTGGTGCTGCCTTACAGCACGTTACAGAGGAACGCTGTCTCTCTGCACCAAACACACCCCACCTGACATCCAAGTTGTTGTTTTTTTTTAAACAAACCCCTCCATTCTAAAGCTGATAAATTAATTTTATCCGTTACCTATAGAATCAGTGCATCCCCAGGCTCTGGCTCTGCACAGCACATTTCAGTGTATCAGCTGAACAAAGCAGCACCCAAGCAGGGCTGCTCCGGCGGTACAGGACTGCAGGAACACGGACCCCTGACCCTGCTGCACAGAAACCCCCAGAACAAAGTCCATTTCCAACTGCAAAAGTGCCTACAATTTCTCATCTCTGCAGAGTGCCGTTGGAAATAGCCTTGTTTTAAACACTGAGGAACTACACCAACCCATGTACAACAGTGGCGCACACTTCATTTATCTGACAGACAGGTGAGGAAGCTCACCTCCCAAAAATTCCCAGGAGTGACCCACAGAGATCCTGTACTTTCACACAGCTGTATTTATTGCCTGTTCGTTACGGTTTGTTAGTTTTCCTCGGCTGAGAGCTTCTGGGGTGAGACATGCTGCAGGAAGGCTGGGATCCTTCTCACAAATACAAATATGCATAAAACCACAAATAACCGATGTTAAAGGGAGTGAAACTGCAGGCTATGGTCTAAGGTTGAACTGTGCAAGTCTAAGGAATGCATGCCGTTTCCTTCTAAACTTTCCCCCTCAAATAGGACAAGCAGGATTCATTGCACTTAATAAATGCATACCAAGATCCAACCAGAAAAGCACTGCTGCCAGTGTGGACTGTCAGGGATCCTCCGCTGGGATCTGGATCCACCACCTACACCCGCCCTGGAGTATCTAAGCAGGTACAGCCATACTCATTTCTGAATTTGTACCATTTGCTGAAAACAAGCTGCGCATTTCTCCTGAGTGTCCACGCTTGCCAAGGGAAGCCAGTGACACGGACGGGCGGGAGAGGGCACGCTGATGCACAGGGAATGCAAGTCTCCTGAAAATCTCCTGAGAAATTGCCTGATGGAGATTTTGCAGGTGCAGAATGAGGTCCTCCTGCAGAAGGGGGTGCTGGGCTCCTTCTTCAGTAGCGACGCCCCGCGTATGCATCACAAAAAAGCTGTGGTGTAAGCAACAGGCAGAAGAAGAGCTGGAGGGCGCGGAGGGCTGCAGGTGCCCGCAGGCACGCTCCGGGACCATCCCACACGTGCCAACGGCCAGAACAGCCTCTCGGGAACGCATCTCACTGCAATACCCCCAGATTCAAAGAAACCACATATTGCAAAAATGCTCAGAAGTGGGACAGAAGTGTTTAGGGAAGCTTCAGCTGCGCTCTGGCATTGTACAGCAGAAAGAATAAGAGCACAGCCAGAAAGCCATCTTTGAATAGAACAAAAATAGAACTTTTTTCACTGAATAATACCTTATTTTGGCATGTGTGTTTGTTTACTTCAAAGTTATTTGTAAAATGCATGGTGGAGTTTGACCTCAGAGAAGTGAAAACAAGCTATCTGAACTCCAGGTCACTTCTTCAAGAAAGTAATATTGTAAGTGATGAAAGCCTTGTCGGCTAATCTAAAGTTGTACAAGTTTTCTTGCTCTCAAGTTGACATTAAAAATCTTGCAGGTGCAAGATTGCAAAGCTCAAGAAGTTAATGAGCACAAAGACCACTCAGTTGTCTGTTGGGTTTAATTGTTTTTAGAGCATGCACATTTTTACCAGCCACTCATCACTTCATAAATCCAGAAGAGCTCTTCTCTCATTCCTGCAGTTGAACTGTCTTACTTTTCTGGGCATACTTTCCTCCCCCTTTCAAACAAAGCTGTTCTGTTTTTCACAGCCCTATTTCTTCTCGAGGACTGACTCCTCCACACACTTTTCGTCGCAGTTTACACCAGGCAAGTTTCTGGCTGGGAGTTATCGGGATCAGCTGGGGAGGAGGGGGAAGGGAAGCGCTATCAGGGGTGCTGGGGGAGGTCAGGAATCTAGTCATTTCATATTCATCTCCAGAAAAACAGCACAATAAAAGAAAACATTTGATCTAGCAGGCAAACAGAACATTTAGCCAGTTGTTAGAAGTGAATAAAACACAGGGGCTGGGGAGCTCATCCTATGCCTTCACGCGTCACTTACCTAAGCATTAGCATTGCTCCCATCATTTTGTTAAAGAACAGAAATTAACCCCAGAGCGCCAGACTATCACAGCGCAGTGAAATTTCTTCAACCGGCTGTGAGATCTAATGAACTTTGGTTTGCAATCATTACTGATCAACGCCAGAGGAAAGAGGGGCTCTTCAAAGAAACCCACAAGTCGGACACCTCTCCGTAAAAGCCCCTTGCAAATCCGAAGGGACCAGCTTTTCCATGAGTGCATCGGACAGGGAGACTGATACCCATGAACTATCCCACTGCCACCTGCAGACAGTGGGCAGTCAAGCTATGGCTGAACTACCGTAAAGACAACTGGGAGGGAGCCATGCAGCTTGAGACCCCTCATCTGTGCAACTTCCCACTAACTGGCTTTTTTGATGTACGTTTTCCCATGTTACTAATGACAATTAATGATACTTGAAAAGCTAAATCAGAAGAAGAGACTACAGAAACATTCCACCAAGAACACCTATTTTCATCCATGTGCACAGATCTTCTCTGAAGGACTTTCGAGGCGACTAGCTCTGAATTGCTGGTTTCTGAAGGGCGAGGATTCCTCCTTTGTCTTGTTTTCTTACCTCTCGCTTGTATTTATCGCAAACCCAAAATGAAGCAAACACTTCTCTTTTGAGGCTCTGACCAGGACAGCAGGAACAAAAGGATGGCTGAATGCAGGACCAAGTGTTATTGTGGTTTTCTATGACCCTTACTGTTCCTCGCAGGAGCAGCACCAGATGCACCATGAATGGCCGGGCAGAACAGTGCCGTGGAGGAACCTGCCCCAGAAAGTGAGACACCTGGGTCCAGCTCTCGGCTCCCCCACTCCTCCGCCGTGGTCATCAGCCAGCCAGCCCCTCCGCTTGTCAAAATAGACTCACAAAGGAACATCAGAGAACCGTTAGATACTGCGATGGCTGAGGACCACAGCAGTATTTTAAATCTCTGCTCACCAGACACTTAGATCCCCTGGTGACTCTTGCAAAATTGCCAAGCCTAGCAAGGGCAGAGCACAAACGGGGCAGATGTTAAGAGGGAAGGTGGGCAGCAGTTTCCGTACATCCTATCTATTCTGCCATAATATTGTGAGATTATGAGTCTACTACCAAAAGGGGGATCTGTCTGGCACCAAGACTACAAAATAAAACACACAAACCAAAAAACAACAAAAAACAACATCCTGACCAAAATGATAAATGAAAGGCAGGTTCCTCAGAGCATCAGATAGCACGTACTATGGAAAAAACAAGTGCTAAGTTGCAACATCTTTAAATTTATGTAATCAAAACAATGAAATAGCAATTAATAATGAACACTTTGATAATACAGACAACCAGCTTTCTGAACAATCTTTCCACTGGCCCAACGGGTTTTTAAATAAACCTTCCGTTCTGTATCTCAGGGTTACCCAAAGCATTGCTTAGTTTTACTGTCCCCATAAAAAAGGCTGTTTGTAGGGCTGTGCTGGAGGATGACAGCATTGCTATGGGAACTTCAAAAAGCACCATACAGCACTATGCACCTTCCCCTGCAGATGGAAGTTTTAATTCAACACGGACTAACCATGGCGTACTTTCTAAGCCTGGAACAACCACTCCCTAAAAAATAGAAAAGGAAAACAGCAGCAGGTGAGGTGACCTGTCCCAGGAGAGGTGGTTAGCTGGTCACAGGGCGCCTGACCGCCATCCTCCATTCCTAGATCTCGCTCCCTTACCCGCAGGCTCAGCCCGACGTCTCACCTGTGCAGCTCATCATCAGAGGGAGAGTACTTGGAGGTGACATCCGCAAGGTCACCAAAGATCTGCTTGCTGTAAACAGTCAGCGAGGAGAGCAGGATCAGCTCCTGCCATGTAGAGCTGAGCAGGCAGGTATAGTCCTTGATGGAGAGTTCGCAGAAAAACGGCAGCTTCTTGATCCAAGCAATCTGCCTGAAAAGCAATTCATCCGCCAGACGACACAACAACGCAAACAGCTCTGCCTGAGTCACTTTATACCTGCAGGCACAGTTAATGTGAAGGCATAAAAACAATTAACAACATTGAACGACATCATCTGACGAGACACTTGAAAAGCAAGGCAAATGCCACAGGAATTCGTGCTCCAAGTGCCCAATGTGCCAGTGCCCAGACTGTCGCCTGGCGGTGGGAGCCGCGACGGCCAGCACCCAGCCTGCCCGGCCCGGGGCTCCAAGGGGAGCCCCCCCAACTGCTGGGGTCACCCACCCGACCAGCACCCAGCCTGCCGGCCACGGGGCGGCTCAGCCTCAGAGACAGCCCCGCAGCTCTCACCAATGGACAGACTACCCAGCTTTTTTCCACCCATGTGTATTTTTCCAGCTCCCGTGCCTATTAACTTTTGTGCAGTTAACGCAATCTCAGGGCTGAAACCCATTGAAGCCACTCCCGCACAGGCTCAGCCTGGCCACGTAGCGTGAAACCCCACGCAAGGTCCGTGCACGCCAGCCCCAGCCCCAGGCAAGGGCACAGGCCACACACGGGACACGGTCTGGTTTGCTGCTTGCACTACGGCTGCATCTTCTCCCAGGCGACGTGCCCCCTGTGCCCATCGGGCCGTGAACGCACGCACCCAGCCGCCACCCTCGCCGTCAGCAGTCTCTGCCACACAAGCCGCAGCCGTGTGTGCCCGCAGGGACGGCCGGACCCAAACGACAGCCAGGAACACGCAGCTCCGGGCAGCCTCTTGCACCACGCCGCGCACACTCACCCGTCCTCAATAAGCATCGGTGTGCCGAGCGGCTCCAGGTCCTCCGCTGACACTAACTGATTGATAAGACTGTGCGACTGGGGGTCCAGGCTGCGCGTTTGGGGGGGCATCAGAGCCGAGTGAGCAGAATAGCTAAAAAGGTGCGGGAGGTACTGATAGTGCGTGGACACCGGCGTCCCGATATACTGATCCCTGAGTGCAGCGAATCCATTCAGCTCCACGGACCTACTGGAAAAGGAAAAGCTTTTTAATATACCCCCAAAAATCCACCCGATTCATTAAAACGTTGCATCCAGCTCCATCGGAAATGTTAATAAAAATAGGGAGGAAAAAACCAGAAAGGAAAGTGCCTTTGTATTTAAACCCTACGCTGGAAATAACTGAGAGTCTGCAGACCAGACGCCTTACACTTGCCTCATGTTGAGCCTGGCTCGGCGCTAGTTCCACTTAATGGAGATCTGGGAACTGCTGCTGAGCAGCCATTTGGAGAATAAAACAGTAACCCAACTGTATGAAGCATTTCCACTCCGGCTTCCTTAAAGGGACAGAATTTAGGATTGTAAACTAAGAATTTACACAGCCAGTGAACACAAATATCTCCCAGCTTAAGATGCAACTGAAAGCGAATGGAATGCAAGTCTGAGATTCTTGCCATGCTTACAATCAAATGCTGCACTAACAGTTACTAACGTTAATATAACACCATCAATTAGTAACCTAAATGCAGTCATTTATTTTCAAAGTCTGAGCACAGTGGAAAAAAAACAGCTTATACAAAATGAACAGTGAAAAGTAATCAAGTTCCCACGATCTGCAGAAAAAACTATCAATACAAATTAAGAGATCTATTTTAAATAGAATTTTATCTCAGTGTTGCCTTCTTTTTCATTTGCTCATGAGTGTTTCACCTCACAATTCAATTCTTTTCAATCCAGCGCTGCCCTTCGCAAAACGCAATTAGAGATCTAAGAAACTGCAGTATGCTCACTTTATGCAAAGATGCACTCGCAGTGTATTTTTTCCTACATTGACCCAAAGTATCACTCAGGGAAAGACAGTCAAGATTACTGTAATACGAAATTCTTCCAGGGGTCATTCCCACCTTGAAGATGGAGTAGAAACGGGTGAAGGCTGGTTGCTCTCAGAAACTCCATTTCCAGGGGAACTATGGTCACTGTCTCCGTTGTTGCTCCATGACATGTTTGCCTCTCCCTCAAATTCTTGCCCAGACATAATTCTCTCAATCTCTTCCTCTGATATCTGTCAAATACAGGACCATTATGGTTACTTCAGCTGAGAACAGAAATAAGGCAGAGCCTCTGTACATGAACACCTTGACCATACGGCCACATCCAACAGAGCTGAAGCCACCCTGCACCAGGAGAAACGCTTCGCCATTCCTGCAGATATCACATCTTTCCTTTACATTTAACAACGTACATGAAAAATTCTATTTACAGCTAATCGTGGTGACCTCCAGTGCCTGCAGTACAATTCAAGTGATGATAACACAGTAGACAGGAATGGACACATGAAAAGATGATGTCAAATACACACAGCTACGAGCTGTAAATCAGCCACTGTCACACAGTGAAAAACCTGGGAGTAATTGAGGCCAGTTCATCGGGAACATCACTCAGTACTCGGCAGAGGTAAAGGCAAACGGAAGGTGGGGTAGGCTCCGGTTTGATAAAGCAATTGAGAGATGCAAGGTGACATATATAAAATTAGTCAGGAAAACGTTTACAGGGAATCACTGCTCACTGTTTTTCCCCAGATAAGAACCAGGTGGCACTTAATGAAGTAATCAAGCATCTAATACTTAAAACGTATTAGAGAGTAATATATATGAAGCTAAAATGGGCTAAAAAAAATTAAAAATGGAGTTCACTGAAGTATAAAGTTTCAAGAAAGAGCTGGGTATGCTCCTGGAGAAATGCTGCATCAGTAGTGGGGAAAATGGAACATGAAAGTTTCTGGGCTTTTTTTTTTTAATTCTGTGCATGTCCCTTAGTGAGGCTTGCACAAAATATGGAAAGACCTTGAGTTAATATGCTGAAAGAAAGTGCAGTGAACTCTGAACATCATTTTCAAGAGCCAAACATTGCTTAGACAGTTTATTCCAGTCTTGCAAAACCGTCAGAAAAACCTGACAGGCTTACCCATACACATAATCTGAAGAGTGCAACAGCTAAATAGTCTCACCCCAGGAAAAGGAGTTGATGGCATAACCTATGGTCCAACATTGATCACTCAAGTCTCGGATGCGCGAGGGCCCACTCTGGCTAGCAAAGGCTGCTGTTTTACTACAGCTACATTGCTCAGAGAGGCAGTAAAAATTGTTACCTGGCCAGAAATTAAATGTTTGTTCTTCCTTGATAGACCCACACAGGCTTTAAGAATCAGTAACGAATGCTGTTATAAATATGATGTTCACAAACAGCAGAAAATGTTCTATCATTACTAAGAGATTTTTTTATTATTTGAGCTAGGCTCTCTCTGACGCTGACCACAGGCATGGCCGCACCGTCTAATTCTTGCCTTTTTCTCAGTTCGCTATGGAGGACCTTACTGAGCAAGCAGGGCATCTGGTTGCTTGGCTTCTCATGGTTTGGTTTTGGACTGGGGCGAGTAGTTTCTTCGTAGGCACAGAGAGTCACAGAAAATGCTTTCAGTGTTATTTCTGTTTTATTAAAATAAATAGTAAACTTTTAAAAGACCACTTTTCTAGAAGTGAGCTGGAAATGGCCATCATTTCTCACATGTGCAGTACAAGCTGTTGTGCTGAATTACCTCGCGCTTTACAAGACATCTCCAGACAAGCTGCACCATCAATCAGCGAGACATTTACTGGGTGCCCCGCTTGCAACAACTGAAGGAATTGCAGCAGGCAGTCTGCGAGATTTACTGGGAGCTGCGGAGGGATGGATGTCCTTGTGCGGCTCACAAAGGACAGAGAGCCGTGATGGCCAGAGACTGCCCGTGAATTCACACAGGCACCCTGGGACTACGCTGTGTCCCCTCCGGGGACAAGCAAGCACCGAGCTTTATTTACAAATCTACTGTTCATGACAGGTATTTCTAGCACTTGTGGAGAGTCAAAGCCCTGCTACGCCAGCAGGAGGCACGGGCAGGGCTGAGAAAGGCTCAGTCAAATCAACCCCGGCCCCATCCCACGCCCAGCTGCTGCCACGGTCCGAGCTCACCACCCACCAGGTGTGTGCCAAGGCTGAGGGAGGAAAAGCTGAAGGGAACCATGGAGAAAGGGCCAGACGCGCTCACCTGGACAGGTCCGATGCTTTTGTTTCTGCCTCCTGGCATGCCATCCTCTCTGATTGCTGAAAGAAAACAACCAAACCTTGGTGAGGAACACTACTGTTCAGTATTCTAGAAATACATAAGAAGGTATCTGCTATTTTGAAAAAAATCTTTATATCTTAAAAGATTCATTTTGCTCATCAGAGCAGTTTACACAGAAACCTCTAGTGCTTTCCAGGGCACTAGAGAGCTCAAGCAGTACACACCACGATCCTCACCCCAAAGGGCATACACACATCCACGGGGCTACAAGCATTACCCAGCGAGTTTAGTTTCTTCATGTGACCCTTGAGTGACAGGTAATGAAGGAATAGCAAGTCCTTTATCACAATTAATTCCAGAATAATTTGAGAAGTGGCACATGGAAAGCAACCCTACTTCACCCCTGGAAATAACCCAGCGAATGCCCATGACTGCTAGAAAATGAAATGCGAACGCTGGCATTTCGAACTCCACTGCCCACAGCCCTGTGAACCACCGTGGGCCAGACTCCACCTGGAGAGACACCAACCAGTGCTGCCAACAACACAGAGATAAAGCACTTCAGTGGTAACTAGTGTCACTGCTGTCACTTCAGAGGGTCACATCTCCTACAGCTATCACAGAAAATGGAGGGGAGATGTTTTACCCAGCCGGTTGCATGCAAAGCTGTTGTTTAAAATTCGAGTTACTAGACCGAGCTCTGCAGTTTCATTTCGGAAGGGCAGCCTTGTTTCTCACTACAGCAGCTGCATTTTTAAGGTTCTTTAAACAATTTCCAGGGAGCTTCAGTGAAGTCCAATTAAGGAGATTATCCTGAAGCTGCTTCTCCTCTTTCCTCTTCCCCCTGCTTTTCTCTTTATTGGCAGAGCAGCTCTGCAGAAGCCGACAGCATTCGAAGACCAACTCTGCTCCTCATGTGCCTCCTCTCCCGGGCCGGGTCCCCCCTGTTTATCAGGTCCCAATCTCTTTCCCACCGCGACCTGGCCAGACTTGGCAGGAGGCTCTCCCCAGCTGCACGGTGACCTTGCTGCTGCCGGCCGGCCTCACCCTGCTCAGCACACGGGGCTGCAGGAGGCCCTCCCGAAGCAGAAAATGGCACAAAATTTAAGGAAAAATTTCTGTACCAGAAAAGCCAGACTGCTGCTTAATTTTAGATCTCCTCAGTTCAAATCATCCCCGTCTGCCTCGGTGCTGCACTTGCAATTCAGGGATTACACAGGTGGGTTCACCCAAGGCATAGCTCTGCCTTGCTGCGATTGCATGCAGTTGGACGTAAACTGCATTTTCCTGCATCGTAACCACCTAGTCAAGCAATGCAAATCACTAGGCAAAACTGTCCTGATGATTTACAACTCCGCCAGCCTGTGCCCAGCAGCACAGTGATCCCTGTGGCACCTTACAACAACACGTTAGGAGATCAGCAATACAGTTTTAATCCTTCTAATGCAAACTCTATCACCTCCATAGAACGGCAAGTATTTTTATTTGAAATGCTAGATAGCATCCATTTAAGCACACTGGAGAAGCCACAAACACGGGACATAAAACCATTACAGTTATCTTTCACATCACACAAATCTTTTAAGCTATACCAAGACAACAAGCTCATTTTAACAAACAAGGCTGTTTGTTTTCTATGAAAGCTCTTTCAAAAAAATATTGGTTTCTCATTAAAAAGAAGTGGCTGACATAAAACTAAGCCGTCATGGTTAGCTCTCTGTTACTTCCTTTAGTTTTTTTTAACTTAATGGAACTACAGTAACAGTTTTGCAATTTTGCGGGAATTTCTCTCGTTTTCCAATTTTATTGCTAATTGTGATTCAGAAAGCTTCTCAGCTAATTCCATTAAGAGCCGTGGACATGAATTGTCTTTGTCTTTTGAATTCAGAGGGTAATTGTAGCAGATATTAGCTTACATCTTCCTTTTCTACGTCCACATCATCTTACAGAACGCCTTGGAAAATCTGCCTCTGCAGATTTACAGTTCTTCTTAACCATGGAGACAATGCTGGTCGTCACCGGGCTGGCCTTTATTCTCCGGCGGCCTTCTGCCTTGCCCACAAGCATGGCTGA